ATGATACCTGTTGGAATTTATATCCTCATGTCCCATTTTATGACATGCTGGAGTTATCCCTCTACATATGCTGTTACCTGTCTCAAGAGGGTGGTTATAAGGAGCCAAAGGATTGATGATAGTGAAGATGTTAGAATTAGCATATTAAACACACTTAGCATGTGTTTAATAAATTTTAAACCAGGCCAGGGGTGGTTAGCTTACACCTGTAATCCTAGCACTCTGGAAGGCTGAGGCAGGTGGATTGCCTGAGCTCACAAGTTCAAGAACAGCTTGAGCCAGAGCGAGACCCCATCCCTTAAAAAAATAATAACTGGGCGTTGTAGCAGACGCCTTTATTCCCAGCTACTTGGGAGGCTGAGGCAAGAGAATCACTTGAGCAGAAGAGTTTGAGGTTTCTGTGAACTATGATGCCGTAGCGCTCTACCAAGGGTGACAAAGTGAGACTCTGTCTCAAAAAATAATAATTTTTTTAAACCCTGATAGCAGCAAACACTTATGTAGTATATATCCTAGACTGGGTGCTCCTCAAGGGCTTTACATGCATTGATGCACTTAATCATTACTTCCAGCCCATGGAGTAGATACTGTGACTATCCATCCCTATCTACAGTGGAAAATAGAAAGTAACATCACATGTCCAAGGTCACCATCCAGGAAGGGTCAGAGGTAGGAGGAATTCAACCCAGGAAGCTTGGCTCCAGCACTCATAACCTTGGCTACTTTGCTAACCTGCTGTCCTTAGTAATTCAAGGCTGTCTCCCATATGGTGTTCAGATTGTGTGCTGCAATTTCCAGGTGATACTATTAGCTTATTAGACATTTTAGATTTGTTGTTTTACCACAACATTCCAGCAGAGGTCAGTAATGTGGGGTGTGTGTGTGTGTGTGTGTGTGTGTGTGTGTGTGCTGTGTTCAAATATCAGTATATGGGACAACTTTTCTGACAAGACTTGGGGAAGGGAGCACCTACTTCTAATTCTCCCAAAGGACCTATGAGCTAGCAGTGTCTCTTCATAATGTATGCATGTAAATACAGGTCATGTATATTAAATATATACCTGATAGGTGTTAGGAGGAAGATGCCTTCATAATGCAAGGTGAATGCAAAGTCACAGCTTCCTTAGAGAACACAGTTTGCACCATCATTCAGATACTGGTTATACTTGAGTTATACTCAGATGAGCCTAGCAGAATTGTGCCACTAACACCATAAGCAGGGTAAATGCTGCCTTCACGTTTTCACAACCAACAGTGATCAACAGGCTAATAGTAGGTAAGATGCTCCAAGCAGGTGGGACAGGAACTTAAAGGCCATTGTGCTCAATATGGTCAGTGTGTTCTTGCCTAGTAAAGTTTATGTGTTTATGGCAACACTTGAGTAATTTTAAGACACTGTTATTGAAATTTCAGAAGGAGGCTCGGTGCCTGTAGCACAATGGTTACAGCACCAGCCACATGCACCGAGGGTGGTGGGTTCGAACCCAGCCCGGACCAACTAAACAACAATGACATCTGCACATAGCTGGGTGTTGTGGCGGGCGCCTATGGTTCCAGCTACTCTGCAGGCTGAGGCAAGAGAATCACTTAAGCCCAAGAGTTTGAGGTTGCTGTGAGCTGAGATGCCACGGCACTCTACCAAGGGTGACAGAGTGAAATTCTGTCTCAAAAAAAAAGAAAGAACGAAATTTCAGAAGGCAAATGAATTTGCTACTGTTTATCTGATGCTTTTTTGCACCTATGCTACACTTCTTTTCCCAGGGAAGATGATTTTGTTAACTCTTCTTTTATAACGTTTCTTAAGGACATTCTATCATGTTAGTGGTGTGTGTGCGCATGCACATTTTTTAAAATTTAGATTAATATGAGGTTACAAATGATCAGGTTACAATGTTTTCATTTTTGTTTGGGGTTTTTGGTGTGGGGGGGTGCGTTAGTACATGTCTTAAGTTGAGCTGCTATAACAGAATACCACAGACCAGGTGACTTGAACAACAAATACTTATTTCTCACAAGTCCTAGAGCAGTCATTTTCAACTCGTGTGCCGTGAGAGGATCTTAGATGTGTTGCAAAATTTTTCAAAGATCATGAATTTGATTATTTTTGAAAAAAGTTCGAAGCACAGTAATTATATTCCCCCCCCTTTTTTCCTCAACATAATTTAAGTGTGCCTCAGAAGTTTAACTATAGGTTCAAGTGTGCTATGAGATTAAAAAAAAAAAAAGGTTGGAAAACACTGTTCCAGGGGCTGGGTAGTCCAAGATCAACATGCCAGCAGACCCAGTGTCTGGTGAGGGCACTCCTGGTTCATAGGGGGGCCATCTTCTTGCTGCATCTTCGCCTGGTAGACAGCAGTGAGAAGAGAAGCTCTCTCATGTCCCATCTTCTAAGGACACAAATTCCATAATAAGGACCCCAATCTCATGACCTAATTACCTCCCAAAGGACCCACCTCCTAACACTATCCCATTGAAGGGTTAGGATTTCAACATATAAATTTGGGGAGGGGAGCAAACATACACTCTATAACAACACAAATTAAGGTATCTCTTTCTTTTCTTTTCTTTCTTTCTTTCTTTCTTTTTTTTTTTGAGACAGAGTTTTGCTCTGTTGCCCAAACTAGAATGCTGTGGCATCAGCATAGTGCATAGCAACCTCAGATCCTCCTGCCTCAGCTTCTAGAGTAGACGGAACTACAGGTACCCACCACAATGCCTGGGTAGTTTGTCTACTTTTGGTAGAGATAGGGGTCTCGCTCTTGCTCAGGCTGGTCTTGAACTCCTGAGCTGAAACAATCCACCTGCCTTGGCCTTCCAGAATGCTAGGATTACAGGCATGAGCCACTGTGCCCTGCCTGGGATATATATCTTATATGTCAAGAAAAACTCAGATGCCATCAGTGATGAGAAATAGCATTATTTTAGGTACTACAGAGAAAAAAAGGCAAAAAATAAACTATACACAATTGACTATTAAGATGAATTCTATTAAATTCTTAAAACCAGTAAAATATAGCATATTCTGGGGCTGAACACAGTGGCTTATGCCTGTAATCCTAGCACTCTGGGAGGCCAAGGTGGAAGGATCCCTTCAGCTCAGGAGTTCAAGAGCAGCCTGAGCAAGAAAGAGTGAGACCCCATCTCTACTAAAAATAAATAGAAAAATTAGCCCAGCATTGTGGTAGGTGCCTATAGTGCCAGCTTCAGGAGGTTGAGGCAAAAGGATTGCTTGAGTTCAAGAGTTTGAGGTTGCTATGAGCTATGACCCCACAGCATTTTACCCAGGGCAACAGAGTGAGACTGTCACAAAAAAAAAAAAAAAAAAAAAAAGTAATACAGCCTCTGTGTGAGTACAAAAAAGAGCATGAACCTGCTGGTCCAAGTCAGCTGGTGTCAGAGACTTAGCACCAGGGCCCCTGACAACTCTGCCCTTGTAAGGTGCCCTCTACACTGACTCCATGCCTGGCCACGTGACTGACTTTGATCAGTGGAATGTCAGCATGACTCAAGCAGGGACATGCTCTTTTGGAACTGTCCCTCTTGGAGCCCCTGAGACACCACGTGAAGACATCTACCTACACTCCTGGACCACAAGGAGACATTCTGGGCCCGCACCCAGGAGTTCCAGCCACTTCAGCCAAGTCATTAGACATGTGAGTGAAGCTGTCTCGGATTTCTGGCCCAGTCAGGCCTCCAGTGACTGCAGCACATGAGTGACCACCTCAGGAGAATAGAGCTACCAGCTGAGCCCAGCCCTGATTGCAGAATCATAAACAAAAGGGGGGGGGATGGTGTCTTTTTATTATTAGCATATTTGTAGAGACAGGGTCTGGCTTTGTTGCCGAGGCTGTTCTTGAACTTCTCACCTCAAGAATCTTCACGTGACCCTCTCACCTTGGCCTTCCAAAATGCTGGGATTGCAGCTATGAGCCACTGTACCCAGCCAGAGGAGCGCTGTTTTTTGAGACAGAGTTTCACTATGTCACCCTCAGTAGAGTGCCAGGGTGTCACAGCTCACAGCAACCTCAAACTGTTAGGCTTAAGTGATTCTCTTCCTCAGCCTCCCTAGTAGCTGGGACTACAGGTGCCCACCACCAATGCTTGGCTTATTTTTTGTTGCATTTTTGCTTAACAGCCAGGCTGGGTTTGAACCCGCCAGCCTAGGTGTATGTAGCTGGTGCCATAACCACTGTGCTACGGGCACCGAGCGAGAGGGGGCTGTTTTTTAAGCCTTAGATTTCAGGGGAGAGACACTGCCATATGCCCTGTAGTGTGCTAAAATACACTTAGTTATTATCCAAGGGTGGGTTCCAAGTACGGTAGCCATGATAGCATCAGAGGGTTTTGTGGGATGGGGGTTCCTTAGGTGGTTAAATCCTCATGGAGGCCAGAGCAAAGGCCATGGGGCAAGTACAAGGGGACACTGTGGAGATTCTCTGCCTTGGTTTGGTTTTCTCATTAAGGGTTTGAGGGCAAGTTTATTCAGAAGAAATGGGGAACATCTAGAGAGGAGGTGGGAAGAGATGCCAAAAAGGGAAAGCAGCCAAAAGGTGTTTTATCAAGCCCATGGCACTTTGGGGAAACGGAGATTCTTTCTACTGGGGAATGTGCACTTCTGAGTTAGCCCAACCAAGAGGTGAGGGACCTGGGATATTTATACACCATCTCCTGTCAGGCATTCATTGGCTGAGGGCTGCTGGCACGGGAAGCAGGCATGAACTCCTGGCTTTCAAGACTTGTCGCACTCACACCCAGAGCAGAGCGGCACCAGTGGTCTGAGAATGTCCACACGCAAAGGTTCAGGTGCTGAAACTGGCAGGTAGGCCCCTGTGTGTTGACAGGCAGAGGGGGAAGACGACGTGGACTGGCCCCCACAGTGGCTGCTGCAAGCCCCAGCCAGGCATATGCATCAAACACAGCCACTTCCCTGCACTCCTGGCCTCCAGAGATCAGACAAGACAGTTCTAGTCCAAATCAAGTTTAATAGGGAGTTTAGAGATGCTGAGACTAGGGGAAGGCTTCACTGTGAATGCTGAGATCTGGGACAGGGCCCAGTTGAGTTCTGAATATGAAAGCAGAAACTCTAATCCAGGGGTTCCTTCTTATGTATCTGGGTTAGGACCCAGGGAGTCCTGGGGAAGGTTAAGGACTATCTTAGAAGCCCTGCTAGGATGGTATTGGGATCCCCAAGTACCACGTAGGGGATTACATCTGGATTTCTAGATATGAAGAATTCAGTTGGGGGAGAGAACCCCAACAGGTCCCAGTGAGGACAAGGTGAAGGGCTCAGGGTGTTTTACAAAAACAATCAAGGAGCCTTGATTTCACAGAAATCATAAAAAGGGCTCCTTGTAGGTGGGGGAGGTGTGTCACATCATCCCAAATATTGGGGACTGTTCACCCTTCAGCAGCCATTTTGGGGTTTTAATGTAAGACCCTAATGGCAGGATATTCTACATACATTATCATGGTTTTGCACATTAGCATACGCTGGCTGTCCCACAGGACGGTGGGGACTGGAAAAATCAGTCCAGGTTCTGGGTTTGAGTCCTAAGAGGACAGGCCTGGGGGCGCCACACGGCTCCTCTTCAATAGCTGCCGGAGCTGTGGACAAGGCAAGGCAGAGTGAGCAGGCTTGGGGCTGGAGGGAGAGGGGAAGACAGGCGGTGTGTGGGCAGGGCTGGAAAGGAGCCGAGTGGGATCAGGTGGATCTCAAAGTCGGGGTCCAGAGTCAGCACTGGGCTGGTGGTAAAGGTCTGGGTTCAAATGCTGAACCAGGACTGGAGATGAGTGAAAGATGCTGCTGGCTGGGGGTTCCCACCCTGGGGTTAGTACCAAAGGGAAGAAGCAAGGAGGTCAGAAGTCACATTTGAGGTCAGGACACAGGGCTGGGGGTAGGGGACCAGAGGTCATACTTGGGGATCAAAGGTCACAACTTGAGGTCAAGATTCACCTTAGGGATAGGGGTCAGAGGAGTACTAGAGTCAGGGCTCCAACATGGAGGTCAGAGGTCACATTTTGAAGTCAGGGTTGGCTAAGGGTTGAGGTGACCTTCCAAAATTAGAAACCACCCTCTAAAGTCAGGTTTGGGTAAAGAGGTAGGGTCATGCTGTTAGCTCAGAGGCCACCCTATGAGGCCAGGCCTAGTGCTTACCCCCTCGGGGCCCGGCCCGGGCCTTAGCAGGTGCACAGGCTGCTCATTCTCTAGGTTGCGCAGTGTCGGGTCTGCCCCAGCTGCCAACAGGCGACGCACGATGGCCTCTTGGGGTGGCCCAGGGGGCAGGGCAGCTGCCATGTGGAGGGCTGTGTTCCCATGGGCCTGAAACAATAAAGGCAGGGCTGATCAGGATCCTGACTGAGCTGGCCTACGCCCTCCCAACTGCATCCTGCATCAGCCATGTCCTACACTTGCCCCTTAAGAGCCACACTCCATATCCCTCTGTGTCCATGTTCTACACACTTCCCCATGGTCTGTTTCCCTCCTACACATCCCCTTCAGATCCCACACATTGTCCCCTCTATGTCCATAGCCCACCGGGCCACCAACATCTCGTTTCTTCCTCTGCTGTATCTCCCACAATCTGCACGCCCCACCCTAGGCCCCCACCTTCATGTTGACAAAGGCCCGCAGGTCTCCTCGTGGCAGATCCAGCAGCAGCTGAACCACGGTAGGGTTGGCAGCCTGCACGGCCAAGTGCAGGACTGTCTTGTTGCTCTTGATCTCCTGTGGGGAGAGGAATGGCAGAGGTTGGACCAATCTGCACACCCAGGCCCACTCCCAGAACCCAGAAACCTTGAGATACTCTGGCCTTCCCCTGCCAAGCCCTGTCAGGAGTGTCGTGTTCAGCTGTATATATTGAGCACAAAACAGCACTATGTGTAAGGCATGCCGTCCACACCACATGCCTCACAGAATATACATTTATTCCCCCCAGCGCCTAGCCACAGGCCAACTAACACATGAAAATGCACCCTGACCTAAAGGGACTGTACTTGATCTACAAGAACAGAGTCAGGCAGCATTTATCAACACACTAGCTACTATCATGACAGTGCACCGCAACACTGAGCTATTCTCTTCATATCTGGGGAAAAATAAAAGACATTTTCTAAAATGAAACTTATATTATGTACCTTTAAGGAGTTTGTGATGATAAGCAACATTATGAGTCTTATGTGCCTATAGAAGGCAAAACAACCTAGTTTGTGCGTCAAATAAATTATGAAGAAAAGACAAAGCTATCGATTAAGAGGGGCTTTCAAAGATATATATATCATCATAATATATGGGCTTTATTTGAATCTTGATTTTTGATTTTTTTTTTGAGACAGAGTCTCACTCTGATCCACAGGCTAGAGTGCCATGGTGTCAGTCGAGCTCACAGCAACCTTAAACTCCTGGGCTCAAGCAATCCTCCTGCCTTACACCCCTGAATAGCTGGGACTACAAGCACTTGCCACCATGCCAGGTTAATTTTTTTACTGTTAGTAGAGATGGGGTCTCACTCTTGCTTAGGCTGGTCTAAAATTCCTGAGCTCGAGTGATCCCAGAATGTTAGGATTATAGGGAGCCACTGTACCTGGCCTGAATCCTGATTTTTTTTTTTTTTTTTTGAGACAGAATGTATGTCACCCTCGGTAGAGTGCCATGGCATCACGGCTCACAGCAACTTCAAACTCTTGAGCTTAAGCAATTCTCTTGCCTCTGCCTCCCAAGTAGCTGGGACTACAGGTGACCACCACAACACCCAGTTACTCTTCTGTTGCAGTTGTCATTGTTGCTTAGCTGGCCCGGGCTGGGTTCGAACCCACTGGCCTCGGTGTATGTAGCATAACCACTGTGCTATGGGTGCGGAGCCCTGAATCTTGATTTTTTTAAATTAAGAAAAAAAACTTTGTCACTTTAGAGTCAAAAGGAAATGTGAACGCAGCCAAAATATTTGATAATAAGATTATCATTCATTTTTTAAGGCTGAATAGGATTGAGGTCAAAAGGCATACAAATATTTGGGGAGAGGTCAAACCAATCTTCACATCCAGACCCCCTCACCCAAATTTGTATTTCTTTTCTTTTCTTTCTTTTTTAATTTTTTTATGAGACACAGTCTTACTTTGTCGCCCTTGGTAGAGTATTTGTATTTCTATACAAATATTTATAGAAAAAATTATATGCTTGGATTTGCTTAAAATAACACAGAAAAATGAGAAAGCAGAGTGGTTCTGAGTTGCTGGTTATTGATGGTGGAGGCATGGGATTCATTTTCTGCACTTTTCTAAACTCAAAACCTTTAACAAAAAGAAATTTTTTGTGTGGATGCTTAAGCATCTAGCCTGCCTGTGAAGGAGCTATAGGAAATGAATATAACATAATTCAGAGCTGAGTTCTAAGGTCAGACTTAGAACTGTGTTTAGACTTAGAACTTAGAACCCAGATTTGAACTGCATTCAAATCCCCTTTCAGACACTTACAAGCTGTAAGATTTGTTTTGTTTTGTTTTTTGGTTTCTTTTTCCAAGACAGTGTTACTCTGTTGCCTTGGCTAGAGGGCAATGGCATCATGATAGCTCAATGCAACCTCTAATTCCTGGGCTCAATTGATTCTCCTCCCAGGTAGGTGGGATTACAGGTGGGCACCAGCACATCAGGCTGATTTTTCTCAGTTTTTCTGTACAGACAGGATCTTGCTCTTGCTCAGACTCGTCTTCAACTCCTGAGCTTAAACAATCCTACTGCCTTGGCCTCCCAGAGTGCTAGGAGTATAGGCATGAGCCATGGCACCTGGCCACATGCTGTAAGATTTCTGACCCTCTGTGCCTCTCAGTTTCCTTATCAGTAAAACAGGGAAAGTAATAATAGTACACATGTGTAAGGGTGTTTGGGAGGATTCAATAAGCTGATCTATGAGACATGGTGCTGATGACCAGGAAGTGCTTGATAAATATATACTGAGATCAGTAATATTATTTCCAGTTGACAACTAGGGCACAGAAAAGTGAAGTGATGTGCACAAAAATGAAATGAAGGTCACACAGCCAGGAAGGCAAAATCAGCATTTGTTTGGAGCCTTCCTGGACATCCAAGTGACTCTATCCCACACACGCTCCCAAGGGCCAGCCACCCACACCCAGCTCACCTGGCTAGTGTGATCGGCACCCATGTATAGCAACATCTTGACACAAGTCAGCCTATCTTGGGCTTGAGTACTCAGCATCCGAGAACAGAGGTCAGGTGGACGCATAGCAACATTGAGAGCCAGGATAGCTGTGTGAAGTGGGGTGAGGCCTGCAGAACACAGATAGTGAGAACGCTACATCTAAGTCATCCATTCTACCCAGTCTCACCTACCACAATAGCCCTCCCCACACCCAACTTACCCTCAAAGTCTCTGGCTTCAAGGTCAACCTGAATCCCTGAGTTAAATACAGCCTGTGAGAAGAGAAGGCAGATTGCAGGTAAGAGTCTCCCCAGACCTCCTAACCCTGGCAATCAGTCTCCCCCAGACAACCCACATGCCAGCTGGCCATACCGAGAGGACTCCCGGGAGCCCATAGGTAGCAGCCACATGCAAGACAGAACGTCCCTGATGGTCAGTGGCATTGGGTTCTGCTCCCAGGCTCAGAAGATCCTGCACAATCAGGGGCTGATTGGCAGCAGCAGCCACCAGGAGAGGGGTCTGTAGGTCACAGGAAAGGTCAGTATGGGCCCCCAGCACCCTCCCCTCTGAAAACCAGGAACCCAGGTTCCCAGCCGCCTCTGCCCTCAGACCTAGAAGTTCAGTTCCCAATACCCTCTTCTCTAGGATCCAGGAATCTATGCCCTCCCTGAATCCAGAAGACCAGGCCACAGCCCTCACCTTGCCCTTATGCTCACGAATGTCCAGATGTCCATATACCTGGAGCACCTCAGCTGCAGCGTATGCTGCCCAGCGCAGACCTCGAGCTGCAAACAGGTGCAGGAGCCTGAGGACAGGTGGGGGACAGTGGTGAGAACAGCCCCCAACTGACACAAGAGTCTGCAGACAACCCCCTTCCCCTATACTCACGTGTCCCCCTCCTCATCCTGGGCCAGCAGCTGTTGTGGCCCCAAAGCCAGCATGTGAGCTCGGGCTGCATCCAGAGATGGCCCAGTGACTGCAGGGGGCAACTGTGGAGGTCCTGAGGGGAGCCCAGAAACTCTCCAGGATCCAGCTTGTGACAAGGGAGGGTCTGTATAGAGCTGAGTGTCCGGGGCCTCCTGAAATGTGAGGTGGTAGGGGGAGCAATCAGCTGAGAATTCTCCCTTCCCAACCCACCACACACAGACACCTACGGAGCCCCTGATCAAGTGGCTGGGTATGCCGTGTGACCTTGGACCTTTAGGCTTCAGTTTTTCCCATTGGGGAAATGGGATCTTAATCTAGCCCCAGACATCTCAGAATATTGCATGAGGACAACTGGAAATTTTTAGGGGCTCTTCAGTATCCTATCCCCACTCTGTATCTCACCTCCATCCCCAGGGGTAATGGACACAGCCGCCCTGGGTCCGAGGGTGAGTAGAAGTCAGGAGTCGGGAAACCTTCAGCAGCAGAAGCAGGGTAAGAGTAGGGACTGTCTGTGTAGGCAGTATGCGTGTTGGGGTCCCAGTCTGAAACGCCCATAGAGGGGGCCAGGTTGCCAAATCCAGAACCCACAGTCTCCTGGTGTGCTAGGAAGTGAGGATGGCCTGCATGCAAGAGGAGGGGCAGGAGCAGATCTGATTACCAGAGTTGTGGGAGTCACAGCAGGGCTGGAGGGCATATAGTCTCTCCAGGTGCTGAGAGCTAATTCTCTGGGACACCAGGGCCTGAGAGCTGGACTCCTGGGACACCACAAGGCGGAGCCCCTGGGACTCTGAAAAAACTATGTGCATAGACTACCATGCTCCAGAGAATCTGTGAGATCAAATTGCTACCGAGTCCCAGAAAGAATAAAGGCCTGACTCCTAGGTGCCCCAAAGTCCTACGAGGAGGGATATTTGAATCCCTGAAGGAAGCTGGGGCAGGAAGCTCAGAGAACTAGGCGAGGTTCCAGACTTACCAGGATCAGTCTCATTCACAGATGGGGTCAGGGGCTGGGACAAGGGAGCCGAGAACTGTCCCTGTGGAGCAAAAAGGAACAAAGGTGAATTTATCTGACTCATTCTCAGCATCTGTCCCTGACCTATAGGGCATCTTCCACCGAACCACATCTCTCATCAACTCTGAGAGCCCAGTAAGTCCCTGCTGGACAGCACAAAGCCTCAGGGAGTTGTAGTTCACAGGCCTTCCTGGGACTCACCTGCACCCCACCGGTATCAGGCTGCTGCTGGCGGCGCCTCCGTTCTTCCAAAAGCTTCTTCACCGTCTGTGTGGGGCAGTGGCTGCGCTCATTCTGACTCACTGAGGGGTGGGGAGGAAAGGGGGAAGACATCAGGGGTCCTTAAGTCACTCAAATGCATGGGGGCGGGGTAGATTTGGGCACCCTCCTTGCCCTCCCGCGCGGAAAAACTGGCACATTGATACCGCCTGACTACTCCAAAGCTATTAGAAGATTCTGGGTGGGGCGTCCGCCCCCGCCGTTTCCTTCCCTTTGCTCCGCACTTTCCCTCCGACCCAACTTTCCACCAGCGTGGTGGAAACTGAGGAAGGGGGAGGAGAGCGATCCTCTACAGTACCCCTCCCCCCTCAAACTTCCGTTTAAAAGTCTCACCCCCAGATTCTCCCAGTCCCGAGGCCTGGGGGTCGCAAGGCATCACTCCCTGGGGACGCATATCCGGGTTCCCAACATCATTTTGCCCGAGAAGCTGACCTGTTCCCCTTTTCCCAAGACACACCCTGAGAAACCCTAGATGGTCTGCGATCCAGAGGTCCAGGGCCCCCCACCTCCATCCCTTAGGATTCGGCCGTCTGGGAGGCCAGCACTCTCTTCCCCAGGACCCCAGGAGTTCAGGCCCTCGGCCTCCTCCTCTCTAGGGCCAGCGAGTCCCCGATCCCACATTCCTCACGACCCTGGAACAGAGGACCCTCCCCAACCCTCAACCTTCCAAGCCTGGGCTCCGGAGAGGGAAGGGTTAAACGAGAGAGCGCCTACTCGGAAACTGCCCAGACGCGACGCGCTGACGTCACGGCGCTCGCGCAAGGGAATCTTCCACCTGCATCTTCCCTTGACCTCCTGCACCCCAGGTGTCCCGCTCCGAGGCGAGCGCGCGGCGGAGCGTGGCGCTCGTGGAATCCCCGCACGTGGGGAATTCCTGCTCAGCCCTGGACTGTGGCAATCCGGGAAATCCCGGGGCGGGGTGGGGCGGAGTCAAGGTCACAGCCGCCGTGGACCCCTGTGGCTGGGAGGGACCTTCCCCACTGAGGCGGGCGGCGATTTTAAACAACTAGGACCTCTTAGCCGGCCGTGGCGGCCCAGCCTGTGGTCCCAGCTGCTCCGGAAGCTGAAGCAGGAGGGTGACTTGAGCCCACGGGCTTGAGGCTGACGTCATGGCACTCTAGCTTAGGTGACAGAATGAGACTCTGTCTCCAAAAACCAAACATGCAAAACACAACTATATCCCGAGTACTCAGTGCAGCCATCCCTAGGGCATGGAGTCTCGGCCGCCGGCACCACTTCCCACAGGACCCAGCAATCCAGCCTCCCAAGCCCATTCACCTCCTGGACCCAGGATTCTAGGTTCCCAGCCCCCTACGCCCCCAGGATCCAGAGGCCAGGTTCCCAGCCTCTCCTCCCCTACGACCCAGGAGTCCCGGCCCCTAGTCCCCTCCAAACACCCAGACCCTCACCCTCTCTAGACCCAGGACTTGACGCTCCAGTTCCGTCCCTCAAAGACTCAAGAGCTGGATTCCCAGCCCCTCACTCTCCCGAGTAGCCGAGAGTCCCCTCTCCCCGCCCATTACCTCGAGGATTCCGTGGCGCAGATTGCGGGCCCCCAGGGCCGCGGCCTCGGCGCTGCGCCAGTCTCGCTATTTCCCCGCGGAGCCGCCGCCGGGTCCCCAATCTTGGGTCGGGTCCCCCGCGTGTTTTTAAACTGAGCGTTCTGGCACCGCCCAGCCCTGGGCAGGGCCTGTACAGGCCTGGGAGTCCCCGTGTCGCGCCCCAGCAAACCCAGTCTCTGAGAGGGCGGGGCTGAATTGGAAGGCTGGACTCCGGAGTCCCGGGAGCTGGGGGTACGAGCCTTGTATACCAGACTCCGGAAGAAGGGGGCATTGAGAGTCTGGACTTCTGGGTCTCTGTCCAAGAGGTGTACTGGAGGCTTTGACTACCAGGTCCGGTCCTAGCCTGAGGGGGGGTGGGGAGACAGTATTACAGAGTCCTGGGGGAAAGAAGGGACTGGAGGTCTAGACTCCCTGATCTCCAGGGAAGAAAGATCTATAGGTAAGGTTAATATAGGTATTCTGAAGTTTCTCCCTCTTCCCTACATCATATTCTCCTTTTTTCAGAGGTCAGGTTTCGTTTATGCATTCATCATGTAAGATAATTTTTTTTTTCTTTGTGACAGAGTCTTACTTGGTCGCCTTCCGTGGAGTGCTGTGGCGTTATAGCTCAACAGCAACCTCAAACCTCTGAGTAGTTAGGACTACAGGTGCCTGACACGATGCGGACTAGGTTTTCTATTTTTATTGTTATTTATTTGTTTCTTGAGACAGAATCTTACTCTGTGCCCTGGGTAGAGTGCCGTGGTTCACAGCAACCTCGAATTCTTGGGCTCAAGAGATCCTCTTTCCTCAGCCTCCCGAGTAGCTGGGACTACAGGCACCCTCCTCAATGCCTGGCTATTTTTAGAGAGGGGATCTCACTCTTGCTCAGGGTGGTCTTGAACTGGTGAGCTCAGGCAATCCACCTGCCTTGGCTTCCTAGAGTGCTAGGATTACAGGCATTAGCCACCGCGCCCCTTGTAAAATAATTTACTACTTTGCTAGCTGCCCTGGTGGAGCTGTGAACTAAGTAGGCAGGAATTCTCAGCCTTCCAGCTGACTGACATTCCAGTGGGAGGCTGTTCTCAGTTTCCCCCTAGTGAGCAGCCCCAGCACTGACCATGCTGACCATGTTTCTTCCCTACTTTCAAGACTTGCTGCTCTCCTGTGGCTCCTCCCCTGCTTGCTCCTCCTCCTCAGTTTCCCTGGCTGGTTCCTCCTCTTCTCTCATTTCGTGGGAGGTGGGGGGTTCTCTATACTCACTTCCTTGGTGATCTCATCCAGTCCTGTGGCTCTAAATACCATCCATAAGCTATCAACCCTCAAATTTACATCTTCAGGCCAGAGTTATCCCCTGAACTCATAAATGCAGCTGTGGTCATTCAACATCTCCACAGGGAGATTATCGAGGGCATTTCCAGCTCAGTGTAGCCAAAACTTGGCACTTTCCCCTCAAGCCTGCTTCCCTCCCCCCATCTCTGTTAGTGGACACTCTGTCTTTTCAGTTTTTCAGGCCAAAGCCTTGGCCGTACTGGATCTCTCATACACACCCACATCCATTTCATCAGCAAATTTCGATGGCTGTACCACCAAAATGCTTCCAGATCGTCCTAGCACCCACACTCTGGTCCCCCTGTCACTCCCACCTGGACCATCACAGAAGCCTCCCTGGTCTCTCTTACCCTTCCCCCAGTTTGTTCCCCAAAGGCAATAACATACACCCCACCACCACCGCCACACACACAGGAAGCAGATGGCTTGCCACCAGCAGGGTGACATCCGCTATTGCTCTTCTCTACTCCCCCACTGTTCTTCAGGACTTCCTTGGACCACAGTTCTTTGCCAGACCCTTCCAGACCCCAGCCCACCATGGTCACTCCAGGCCACATTCTGCTCCTACTTTTGCTCCCAGGTGAAGCCAGCAGTTATGGGGGGATGGCAGGCAAAGCCTGTGACTTGGGTGACATCTGAAGGGAGGTGTGCTGAGGGCAGGGTTCTTCTCTCTGTGCCCCTTCCCTTTCTGGAGATCCATTCAGCTTCAGGGTCTTTGCGGGAGTGGAAGGCAAGGTAGAGACTCCTGGGGTAGCTATTATCTGTTAATCTCCCCTTCTCACTGCCAGGTCTCTGCTGCTACTCCCAATTTCCCATCTCTCTCTGTCTCTGGGAGCTTCTTTTCCCATTTGTGCCCCTTTTTCCATCCTGTCTCTCCCCCACTCATCCACCTTCTCTCTCTTTCCACAGTGGCTACAGCTCAGATGACCCCAGGTAAGCAATCACTCCCTCCCTGTTACTCTGGTATCAGGTACCACTTCCCTCCCAAAGCTTGGCCTGAGGGGTTTCCAACACCTCGGTGATTCTCCAGGTCACTTTCTCCTCCCTTATCCCCAAATTGGAGCCCTCAGAGGATCTGCAGCTTTCTCGAGGTCCCACCTTGCCTTCTTCATCAACCAATCAAGGTTCCAGGGAATCAGTGACCCCTGAGCTCTCTTAGGAATTTCCCAAAGCCTCCCACAGATGCCCAATGCGCAGCCCCAAGGGTCCTGGGACATGCTGGCCTCTCTGGCTCTCCATCTCCTCTTCCATTCCCCAAGTGCAAAGGAATCTGGGCTCTGCCTCCCTCAAAAGGGACTTCCTCTTCTATGACCAAAGCACAGCCCCAGGATCTAGAACACGCCTGAGCTGCCTTCTGTCTCGCCCCCACACTGCAGGTTCCTGTTCTGGATGTGGGCCCCTATCCTTGCCGCTCCTGGCAGGCCTGGTGGCGGCTGATGCAGTCATATCACTGCTCATTGTAGGGGTGGTGTTCCTGTGTGCTCGCCCACGAAGCAGGCCCACCCAAGGTGAGGGTAGGGACAAGGCGGGTCTGCAGCGGGGGTGGTATTCCTAGGGAGGGGTCCCATGGGAGGGGACCCCTGGGGAAGCCCTAGAGGAGGTGCTGGGGAAACCCTGGGGGAGGTGTTTAGGGGAACCCCTGAGGAAACCCCTGAGGCAGGGGGTCCCCAGGGAGGTGGAGATGTCGGGTAAGTGGTGGGTGGTCATGCTTCTTGCTTTTTCTCCCCCACCCCCAGAAGATGGCAAAGTCTACATCAACATGCCTGGCAGGGGCTGACCCCATGTAACTTCAACCTTTGACTTCTGACCCTCTCATACTAGATGATGTGTGGTGGTACAAGAACACCCTCCCCACTTTGGGATTGGAATAAAGCAATGGAAATACCAGTAGTTTCATTCTTTCTTAAAGAACTCCACGCTTCCCAAAGCCTCCCTCTCATTTAGCTGTTTCTGTGCCCAAGACCCCCTCAGGTCTCCATATATCTACATCCTCTAAGCCCAAGAAACTGGCACAACTCAACGATGTTTTTCTGCTTCGTGTTTATTTGGAGGCAGCAGTGGGAGAGGTGTGATAGCTCAGGGAGGGCACTCTGTAGATCTATGTCTTGGTAGGAGTAGGAGTGAGGTACTTGGTGGCCATCAGGAATGACTGGATCCAGGAATCTGGTTGTTGACCATCATGATTTGGCTCATTTGTAATATTGCCTCTGTGTGTTGAGGTCACTGTAGACATCTGACCTCTGACCCTGGAGCTCCTAAAGGGATGGAGCCATCAGTGAAAGGGGTCCACCAAATAAACTTAGAACAAAACCTAACCTTCTTCCAGTGGCCTGCAATGCCCCTGGCAGCTTCTTCAACCTTGTAGCCACAGAAAAGAGCTGGATTTTATTCAAGTGTGTTCCATGTTCCCCTTGCCCCTCTGCCTCATCATTATGCTCCAGCCTCAGGGCCTTGGCCTGTGCTGTTTCCTCCCCGCAGATACCACTCCCTGGATCTTTTGTCTCCTCTCCCTTCAAGTCTCAGCTCACATCGCCTCCCCAGAGATGCATTTCTCAATGGCCAGTTGGTAGTTTCTCCCCCACCACCCCAGTCACTGTCACAACAGCCTTCTTTATTTTCTTCTCTATGCCTCTCAAAATGATTTTTTTTTTTAAAAGACATAGTCTCATTCTGTGCCCTGGGTAGAGTGCCATGGTGTGATAACTCACAACAACCTCAAACTTCTGGGCTCAAGAAATCCTCCTGGGCTCGGCGCCTATAGCTCAACCGGCTAAGGCGCCAGCCATGTACACCTAAGGTGGCGGGTTTGAATCCCCAGCC